TGGACACTGTCGGTATGGAGATTCTAAGGAGTACATTTCCACCTTGAGCCTCAACCCGTGAGTTGTTACACTACACGGTTCGATCTCCCATTCGATTGTGCCCTGTTTAAGTTTGTGGATTTGTGGCAGGAAGGGACTTGGATAATTTCTTCCAAGTGCAGAACCCTGCCCAGTAGATTGAAACCTGTCATGTCACTGTGAGGTGAGCATCGAGGTATTAACTATATGGTGATTCTGGGTCCCTTTCCATCGGACACCCAGCAGTTATCTTTCTTCTGTACTGAGTTTTCCTGAGGGTTCAATAAAATTTTACTTAAAAAAGTCTGTCCCTTGACAGGTAGGAATCTAGCTTTCACCTCATTTTTAAAGGGTAAAGAAGTTGAGATTTAGCAAAATGAAAAGACCTTGCCTATGATTTCTTGCTTGGTTTGCCAGAGCTGGAACTTAAATTTTTTGACAGCTAAACCAAAAACATTTCAGATATATCAGTTTTGTGTTGTCATTGTTTCCCAATAAATATTTAGTCTGTATGTCGTCCTCCTAGATTCAAATAAAATGACAGCTCTGTGGATTTTGAAAGGAGGCTGTTGAGGTGATTAGAGTTTATGAATACCTTTGTGGACCTAGTCCACATTGTATTGTGGGAATCTGATTAGAAATTGTGATTAATTGGCATAGAAGGCTGGTTGCCAGATGCCAGAGAAATGAACAGAGAGCAAATTGAGGATTCCCATAGGTGCGTTAATTTGGCTGAACGAGTAAGGGATAAAACGTCACAGAATGTGACAGAAAAGTGGGTGAAGGGAGATGTCGGACAGTGTAAGACGACAAAATAATAATAATTTATAAATTACCAAGGGTTCGTTAGGGAGGAGGGGGAAAATGAGCTGATACCAAGGGCTCAAGTAGAGAGAAAATGTTTTGAGAATGACGATGGCAACAAAGGTACCAGTGTGCATAACACATGGATGTATATATGGATTGTGATAATTGTATGAGCCCCAATGAAATGATTAAAAAAAAAAAGTCACAGAATGTGTTGATTGCCGGTGACCTAGGTCTTCCCAAAATATCCAGTTAGCAACCAACAACTTCCTTTTCTTGAACCCCAGTTCTTACCCTTTACAAAAGAGGAAAGGACGCAAATCCTGTAGTGTCTGGGTGTCTTGCCAACAGAAGGCGTGATTACGGGAAAATGCTTCTCCTTTGTTTTTCCCTTGTGACATACACTCTTCAGAGGTACTCTGTTATGCAGCCCTTCAGAAATCCAAACGAGCTGTTTTAAAATCTTCCCACAGCTTACCGCAGTTTGCATTTGTGTTGATAAGTTTTCTTCCATGTCATCTTCATAGCATATTAAGAGTTCTACTAACAACATATATTTTTCAGAGCAAAATCTTGTTAATTAAGAAGGCCTGAAAAATTGATCTCAAAGAAGAGAATTGAGAGGCTACCGGAAGGTAGTCAGGTCAAGTTTAACGGATGAGGTTGTTGAAAAATATAAAGGAAATCCTATGAGGGCGCTTCAGAAAGTTCGTGGGAAAATGGAATTAAAAGATCATGGAATTTTCCCACAAACTTTGCCTCATATGCAAAAGTACCTGCCATGCAGTGGGTGACTCAGTGAGCACTCATTTTTATTTAAACTTTATATTGCCATTATTGTTGAGAACATGCTCAGTCCAAGCACTTGTGCGTGGTTACCCTTCTCGCCCGCCTTCCACACTGACCCTTGCTGATCATATGGCAGCCCCCAAACCGAGGGGGCTCCTTTTATTTATTTGGACATTAAAATCACGGTGCCTGCTTCACTGAGTTGTTGTAAGGCTGTAAGGGAAAATATATGTATTAAGTGCTTAGAACCGCTATTATTGTTTCCTTTTTTTGGTGATAGCCCTGCTGTCCTCTTCACTTTGAGGTAGTACCCACATAATAGTCTTCTCTACGTTAACAGTCCCCATTTAGCAGCATTTCAAAAAGCTGAAATGTTGGGGAGGCAGGGGTAAGAAAACAATATATAACTGTTGTTTATTCATTTAATAGTTCATCTGTGTTTTTCACTGGCGTGTGCTCCCACAATCTCTGTAAGGGTGGTGTATCTCACAGCCATCAAGGTGACTTGGCCGCGGAGGATGTCGAGGGCAGGGGAGAAGGCTCCCGGTGCGTTTCTGAGACTGTGGTGTAACTGTCACTGGAGGTCTTCCTCCGGCAGACAGGCTGGTGGTTGGAACTGCTGAACTTGGGGTTAGCAGTCCATCAGAGATTAGTGTCCAGTAAGTCAGCGTGGAATCTGCCACTAGGGTGCCCCAATTGTGATGTATAGACCATGCTTTACCTCCAAGATCAAACTTTTAGAGATCGTTACAGATAAGATCTTGTAGGGGGTGATTTAACAGAGAAAAAGTACCCTGAGTTGGGTCCTGACTTGTAACCTCGCATTTCTCATCTCTAAAATGGGGGTACTTGGGGACAGTTGTCTGCCCCTTAAAACCATTTGGGAACTTTAAAGTCTGTAGAAATGTAAGATGTTTATTATGTCTGTGTTGGAAATAGTGGCCTTTGGTCTTTTCTCAGTTACATCCGGAGTTAGTCCCTACTATGTATTTATTTTCCTTAATATTTTATTAATGTTTTAAAGTTAAAATTTTCACAGCAAATTATATTCCCATTTAGCGATTTTTACTCATACTGTTCCGTGGCATCGTGTCAGCAACCTTGTTAGTTTCATTCTCTGTGTAATGTTCTCTGCCCCTCCTGACCTTCTCCTCTCTGCTGTCTGGTAAATGTTGACCGTTCCTACTAAGTATTACAAGAAACGGATTTCACTAACAGAGAACCAGGGAATTTTCATAGAGGGAAATCAGTAAAAGGCCCTGTGCTTCGTTTGTAAGACTATAGTGCTTTAAACCGATTGTTAAGATTTGTTTAAGAATCTCCCCGAATGATGGGACTGTACACGGTAAGCGAACGCAAGGGGTCTTCATTCTCATATAAGGGTAATGCACCAACGGCCCATTTAGTGTCCCCAAAGAGGTGGTGGCCGGAACCACGAGAAAACAAAGTATAGAGCCGCCTAGGTTTCCATGACCTGGGCCCGGCCACCAAGTGCCTGCTTTTTGTTGGGCTGTGGCTCTGTTCTCGTGGAGCGCAGACTTGCACCTACAGCCATCATCTCTGTGTTTTGAACGAGTGAAACGGTCAGCAGTCTACCTTCTAGTGTCCTGGTTCTTCAGAATATTTCTGTATCACGCTCCTTTCCGTAGCCTTCTTTAAGTCACAGTAAACCTATAACTTCAAGCCTGTCGAAGGTGTTCATCGTGGTAGTTTATTTATAAAAGGATAAGGACTCCTTTAGTTGACCCTTGTCTCTTCTGAATTGCAGGGCAAGGCTCCTTTGTGTATTTTGTCTAGACTAGTACTATATTTAACTGGGAAGATGTTCTTATCGGCAGCTGATGCTGTAATGTCTTATTTCAAATTTTATCTTTAAAGTAACCTTTTGTAATGCCTAACACAGTTCTAATTATGTTATAGGTGCTCAGTAAATTCTTACTGATTGAATAGATTAGAAATGTAGTGATATTGGATCATTTGGTCTTCTGACAGCTTTGTGCAGTGGATTTTCAGAAGTGAATATGAAGGAACTATTTTTATTTAACTAATACACATTCTGCTCTTCCTCTAGCTTTACTAAGGAGAGGATACATGATCTAATTTTTTATGTTCTTAACCTAACTAAAGCATATGCTGTAGTATCGTGCAATCAATATGTATATAAAATATATGGTAAATATAAAAGATTCTGAAGTTAACATGTTATTATATTCGGACATAGTGTCATCTCAGACGTATACAGGTTCATGTCCCTCTTAGAATGAGGCTGGGAGGTGGGTGTGTGCTTCAGGGAACTCGGGGACAGGGAGTCTCTGTGCTTTATGTAACAATAGATCCTTGGTAACGATTGCATGCACATGTGTTAACCTGCCTCCTACAGGGTACATTTTGTTCTGAAGACCAACATTTTCATTAAAAGGACTAAGTAACAGTTGATTTAGATTAAAAATTTAAAATACATGGGCTTTCATCCTAACTCTAGTCTTTATTTAGCCCTGCAATTTTGGACAGGTAGGCTTACTTTTCCAAATTTTCGTTTCTTTAAATATAAAATAAGGAGTTGAGCAGGAAGAATCACATGATCTCTAAAATGCTATATAAATTCTTAACCAATGATCTCTGCTTAATCTCTTCAGACTCATAAACCCTCTCCTTCTGTAAAGCATTCCGATTGATCACGCATCACACTGCTGGCTCAGGATTGCTCCCACCAGCAGAGCCGCTGCCTTTCAAGAGCCCATTGTTAACTTTATCCTTGTCTGCTGGTTTTGCTTCTTAGTGTATCTGTTTAAATTGCATTAAATGTATCTTAACTGGTGAAATGTATGTGTAAAAATCGTTTTATGAGAACTAACTAGGTTTAGAAAGACTTCTTATAGTCTCCAAAAAGAAAAGACGGGTGACACAACTGAAAGATGGGGGCTGTGATAAAAGTCTCAAAGGGCTCTAGACTCTTCTACCACTCTTCGAGCCTCGTAAGTTCTCCGACCTCTTTAAAGCACCTGAGGCAGAAAGCTGTAGACTGTCGCTCTAGAAGACCCGCACTCAGGAAACAGAAAGGCCTGCTCCCAGAATGGTCAGTGGATGTATCTACACTGAGCACTTCGTGTTAAGATAAAAGACTGCTTCTTTTTATGAGTTCTTCACTTTAAGAAATCAGCTCCTTTGTTTAGTAGACCAGGTTCCCATTAGGTAGGAAGGCTTTAACTAATGAATAAGCTTTATCATTTTAGACTTTTAAAGAACAGCAACAGTAATCTTTAAAGATTACAGTAATAATCATTCCATTTCAGGTCAGAATGGTACTTTAACTCTATGTTCACTTTGTATGAAAGTTACTTCTCAATATCTCATGTTAAGATCCAACTCTTCTTTTTTCTCCACAGAACATTCAGAAGATTCTCGGCCTTGCCCCTTCGAGAGCTGCCACCAAGCAGGCAGGTGGATTTCTTGGCCCACCACCTCCTTCCGGGAAGTTCTCTTGAAATCAAGCAGAACCCGTCAATTCTTGTCATTCTTTTTGGATGCTCCCATCAGACCTGCAACTATTTTGTAGCAAGGACCACAGGCAGCCTTCACACTCAGGCCCCTTTCTAGTTTTGAGTTGTGACCAATTTACAGCTACAACAGACTTCGAATAGCACCGGCCAAACCTGGCTGTGCTCCTGGTCACAGGTGATTGTCCTTTTTGTCTCATGAATGTGTTGGTTAGGTCGCTGTGGGCGATACCT